CATTCATACTGCACTCTACTACACACATGTTCATACACCACTCTACTACACACACGTTCATATACCACTCTACTACACACACATTCAGACAGCACTCTACTACGCTGCTCCCGGCTGAAGAAGACAAGACGCCGGTTGGGGGTTCTAGTGAGGCTATGTGCTAATGCTAAAGCTGGAAAACTCCCAGTACCGTCTCTCTTTCTGTCAAATGTCCTCTCGTTGGACAACAAGATAGATTACTTCGTCTGAGTGTGGGTGCCTCAGAAGAGATGATGAAGTGTGTGGTGATTTGCCTCACAGAAACATGGATTACCAGCGAAATGCCAGATTCAGTCTTCCAGCTGGATGACAGACTCTTTTTTTCAAGCAGATAGCAGCAGCGAGATAACGGGGAAATCGATGGGAGGCACAGTAAGCATTTACGTGAGTAAAAGTTGGTACACAAACTGTACGCTGATTGGCCGTCATTGCTACAAGGGTTTGGAGCAGCCAACAGTGAAATGTCTACCACATTATCTATCCCATGAGTTTACAGTGGCTTTCATAACTGTTGTTTATATAGCTACGGATGGTAATGCTAAAGAAGCTCTACAAGAAATTCATGATCACTCGCTACAAAGCAAACACCCTGAGGCTCTTTACATTGCGGCTGGAGACTTTAATCATGTGAATCTAAAAGACTGCCTCCCAAGATTTTACTAGCATGTGGCCATACCACCACTTGGGATCAAGACGCTGGACTGTGTTTACAAGAACGTAAAAGATGCATACAAAGCTGAACGCCGCCCCCACCTAGGACTATCTGATCATATCTCAATCTTCCTGGCTCCTGCTTACCTGCCCCTGCTGAGATACTCCAGACTGGTACAAAAGAAAGTTAAATCTTAGATCCAGAACAGTGGCCCTATACTGAGAGATTGTTTTGAACGAAAAGACGGAGGTCTTCAGAGAAGCTACTGAAAATGGAGGAGGGCTAGACCTGGACCAGTACACATCCTCAGTTCTGGGGTACATTAGTAAATGTACTGATGACGTCTCCACCATAAGATATGTTAAAAGTTACCTGAACAGAAAACCTTGGCTGAATGAGGAGGTGTGCACCCTGCTAGAAACCAGGAACATTGACTTCAGGTCTGGAAACTCACAGGAGCTGAGAAGGACAAGGAAAGAGCTGGTTGCTGGTATTAAGAGGGTCAAGGCCACATATGCACAGAGAACTGAGGGTCCATTCACCTCACAAAACCCATGGAGCATGTGGAGGGGCATTAAGTGTATAACAGATTATAAAGGCAGGAGCAAACAATGCCCTAAAGACCCACCTCTGCCTGATGCCCTCAACAAGTTCTACGCACGCTTTGAAGACCCAAACAGACCACCCAGCACCAGACTCACCTCACCACCAGATGAAGAGCTTCTCAGAGTGACCGCAGCAGAAGGAGTACTTTCAGGAGGATTGACCCTCACAAGGCAACCGGCCCAGACAACATCCCTGGGAAGGTGTTGAAAGAATGTGCCAATCAGTTCTGCGAGGTGATGGCCAACATCTTTAATTCCTTACTTACCCTGGTGACAGTTCCCACCTGCCTGAAGACTGCCACCATCATCCCAGTCCCAAAAGAGCCCTACAGTGACTGGTCTGAATGACTTAGCGGCCAGTGGCCCTCACCCAGATAGTTGCTAAATGCTTAGAAAAACTGGTCATGACTCACATCAAAACAACTATTAACATCAACAATGACCCTCATCAGTACGCATACTGCGAGAACCGATCAACAGAGGAGGCCATCTCCTCTGTGGTCCACACTGCTCTCACCCACCTGGAGCAGAAGGACTCCTACGTCCCTATGCTTTTTGTGGACTTCACGTCTGCCTTCAATACCATGATCCCCCAAACCCTGATGGACAAACTACTCACACTAGGCCTAAGCCCATCCATTTGCAGCTGGGTACTAGACTTCTTAACAAACAGACTGCAGCCAGTTAGGATCCACAACTTCTCTTCCTCCACCATAACCCTCAGCACTGGCTCCCCTCAGGAATGTGTGCTGAGCCCTCTCCTGTTCATTCTGCTCACATTAGAACTGTCATTTCTAACCTGAACCCGGAGTCTGGCACCACCTGACCCGAATTTGGACCGGGCTGGGCCATTATAATGGGCTTAATGTGTCGGCCGGTTCGGGCTTTTTATTGCGTCAGGAACGCATGCGGCTGACAATCCTGTCAGCCGCATGCGTTGTTCATCATGCGTTGTTCATCATGCGTTGTTCATCATGCGTTGTTTGCGTTATGCAAACATGGCTTGCCATACTGCAACTGCCACACATGGTCATTTGACCGCGCGCCGACTGGTTGGTTGAAAGAGGTAAAACCTTCAGTTAAGCTTCAGATGAACTACTGCCAGTGATCCATCAGCCCAAAGGGACATTCATTCAGCTGTTGCACTCAGTGGACGCGCACAGCCAAGACCCAAACAGGTGAGATCACAAAATATCCGACATGTCAGAGCAGGATGCAGGCAGAAGCAGGGGAAGCATTTAATGCACTTTGACGGCTCTTCAGCTCTGCTCTTCTGCCCCCTCAGCTGCACGCATCCGCCGACTGTTAATAATAATCGCTGGTATACGCAGTCAAAGCTTAATTAAAAACGTTGGGGTTTTTTCCAGGTTCTGACCTGTAATAACTCTTCATTCGTCGGATCGGTTATGGTTTGGAGATGATGGCTACAGTCTGGGTCGGGTCGATTATTTTGACCCGAGTACAACTCTAGCTCACATATAATTGTGCACCCACTCATCCAGGCTGTCACATTGTAAAGTTTGTAGAAGATACAGCGGTGGTGGGATTCATCACAAACAATGATAAGTCCAGCTACAGGCAGGAGGTGGAACACCTGGAGAACTGGTATAGAATAATAATAATAGAGAATAACCTTCACATCAATGTGAAGAAGACAAAGGAGATGATTGTGGACTTCAGAAGGAACAAACACGCCTACATCCCACTGAACATAAGAGGATCTGCAGTGGAAGTGGTCTCCAGCTACAAGTACTTGGGTGTACACATGCATGACAACCTCAGCTGGAGCAACAACACCACCAGCCTGATCAAGAAAGCTCATCAGAGACTCTACTTCCTCAGA